GGGCCTTTGGGAGATAATCAGGGTTAGATGATAGTGGCTTTGTAAGAACAGGAAGGGAGACCCAGCTAGCACACTATTTCTGTCTTGTGATTCCCACCACCGTGTTAGAACGCAGCCAGATTGCCAGATGCTGGCACCATGCTCTTGGATTCCAAGCCTGTAGATCCATGAGCTAAATAAACCTCTATTCTTTATAAATTACTCAGTCTCAAGTATTTTGTGTAGCAACACACTAAGACAAGGATGTTGTGTGAGTGGTGCCTGTAGAGACAAGTGGATGAAAACCTGACTGGAAACAGCTCAGAAGAGAATGAGAGATGAACTGAAAGTATCAAATCCAGAGAATGGAGAGGATGCTACCTCCAGGAAATGGCTTCTCTCAGCAGGGAATGAACCTTTATTCTCCCTGTGAATTTAAGAGGCTGTTTTTTTCTCTCCAGCTTCCTCCTGGTCTGCCTGTACTGCAGCACAGAGTAAGGTCCTCCAAAACCTCTCTGTTCATGGCTGTCTTTCACGTCTTGTCCAAACATAATGACAAACCCCTGCCTTGAAAGAAATCTAGACCCTGTGACATTCCCTGAGTAAAGCTGTTTGTTCATCACCCTGCCTGGCCACAGGGTCTAACTTCTGACCTGTGTCATCCTTATTGTCATGCAGCCTAAGGTAAAATAGGATTGGAGTTTTAAAAATTACTGTTGTGAACAGTCAGATTTTGTTTTATGTACACATAAGTACTTTCTGAAATTCAACTGAAGGTAGGAATTTGAGCCTAATATAATGCATAAAGTTCACCCATAGAGTTCATCCCCAGAAAATAAAAAGGAGAATCCTAGTTATATCTTATCACTCTGGGACAGGAAAGCAGAACCCTGAGACCCTGTGCGTGCTCCTGGGTGATTTGGGGGTTTTCTGAAAGGCTGTCCCTCCTGTGGATAAGGCAGTCATCTCAAGTGAGACCACTGGGTTTGGCCCAGAAAACATACCTGGCAGGTGGCAGGAAGCACCATAGAAGACAGGAGCCTCTAGTGCTGTCTCTGCTGTCCCAACCCACCATTTGTTAAAGGTCCCAAAGGCCCATTTGTTAAAGGCTCAGCTCCCAGGGTGGCACTACTGGAAGGTGGAAGTTTTGATAGGTGGGGTCTGATAGGTGCTTCTTATTTCCTGGAGGTGCGGCCGCTCCCACCCCTTGCCCTTCCCCCACCCCTTCTTCCTCTCTCCTTTTGGTTGTTGGCTCTTGCTGCAGGGAATGGCACTCCCCGCTCTGACGTGCTGTCTCACTACAGGTCCAAAGCAACACACCGGTTGATCATGGACAGGAACCTCCAAAACAGAGCCAACAGAAACCTGTTTTCCTTACAAGTCGGTAGTCTAAAACAACTATCATAATCATTAGTTAATCATTAAATAGTGGAAAGCTAAGAAACACAATCTCTGGCCACACACCTTCTTTACGAACACAAGTAAAGAAACATAAATGAGTACCCTTCAGACTTTGAGCACTCCATCATGTTACAACGAGGCCAAATATTATTTAAGAATAAAATGACAGCCGGCCGTGGTGGCGCACGCCTGTAATCCCAGCACTCACTCGGGAGGCTGAGGCAGAAGGATCATTGCGAGTTCAAGACCAGCCTGAGCTACAAAGTGAGCTCAAGGCCAACCTGAATTGCATAACGAGACCTGTTTCAAAAAGACAAAAAAAAAAGAAAAAAGAGTAAAATGAAACAGCCAGGAAAGAAAAAAGTGCCTGCAAAGAGGTCAGGTGTACAGAGTCACAGAAGGTTAGAGCTGGGGGGGAAAGGGTGTTCTCAGAAATCATCCAGCCCTGAGCCCCGCCCACCCTGCTCCACGCCCCACCCATTCTGCTGCCGGCTCCGTCCACTCTAAAAAGCAACATCTACTTAGGAGGAAAAGAAAACTGCCCCCAGGGATCGTCTGTAAAAAAAATCATTTTTATCTTTTCTTCTTTAAACTTTTTTTTTTTAACGGTGAAAGATATATATTCTGAAGAATTTGCATAATAGTTCCTTCCCGCTTTTTAAAATACCTTTTAATGTGAAAAGGAGTCCAGGCTGCAAAGAATGTGCCTTTTGCCCTTGGGTTCTGGGAAGGAAGGAAGGTGCTGCAGTGAGGTCATGCACATATTAACACTCCTGCTGCTTATCTGCCGCCGCAGGCTGGCTTTTCTCTTCTCCCAGGGCTCGTGCACAAAGTGGAAGCCCTGTTGTCCCGACAATAATTGCTAAAGGACCACTATTACCTAACTGGGCATCTGATTTTGAACAATTCCAGCGAGCAGGTTGATAACCCTCACAGCGCTGCACGGGTTGCACTCTCCTGGATTCTTAACGAGCTCTGTGATTCCTAGTGGTACAGAGGAGCAGAAATTCAAATGGGCTGATGCCCACTCCACTTCCTCTTCGTGCCAGCTTGGAAAGGATGCCCTTAAAGGACTTCTTGTCCCAGGGGCTCTTGGGTCCCAGAAGATTTTTAGGCTCCATCTCTCAAACCCAGTATGTACTTGTTCCCTCTCTGTTGCCAGACTTCCCCCTCAGAGTGCACCTGCTGCCTGCACCTCCGTGCAGCCAAGCCTCCCTCTGTCCCACAGACACATTTCCACTCTTTGTTCCACGAGTCAGGCCATCTCCGGACCCTGACTTCCCAGGGGGCCGCTCAAGCAATTCACACTTCACTCTCACTGGACTTTGGGAAGCTCCAAGTTGTCCCGACACACTCCCTCTGCCTTCCAAGTTTAACGATGGCCCCAACCCTGGTGTTGCTACTCCCTGGATGCCCCATAGCAGATACCAGGGATGAGACCTTGGTATTGCCCTTGTTCAGGGGTCTAACAGCTGAAAGAACTCTGCAGAGGATAAGAACCCATCAGAGCCACTTCTGCCAGCTCACTACAAGCAGCTTCTGCAGCTTGCAGCAAGAAGATGGTCACCATGGCCTGGGGCATTCCTGTACTATCATCCCACTCTGGGGGAAGGCAGGTACCATCCTCCTGGCTGCACTGTTGTCAGCCTGGATCATTCTCATCTCTTCACCCCTTTGCCATGTGAGTTGGAGTGACTGGAAGGGGTAGGCTGTACCTTCCCATGCCTGACCTGGAGCATGGGGTGCTAGCACGTACAGCAGGAGTGGAGGCCACATGTGATGGCTAATCTTGGTTGCCAAATTCACTGGACTAGTCAGCTATGGGTGTGTCCTGAGGGTGTTTCCAAAGAAGACTGGGATGTGGGTCACTAAAGCTGAGGGCAAAGACCTGCCCTAAATTTGGGCAGACTGGCTGGGGGCCTGGATGGAACAGAGGAGAGGAAGGGGAAAGTTCTCTTCCCTTGTTCTTGAGTGGATGCAGTTTTTGCTGATGCGCTCCCTTGCAAACACTGGCCTGCAGATTCTTCAGCCTTTGAACCCAGACTTGCACCAGGATTCTCCAGGACCCTTCCAGGCCTTCAGCCTCAGACTGGCACTGTTTCTCTTGTTCTGTGACTTCTAGCCTCTTGGACTCAGTAGCCACTTGTTTACCTGCCCTCTCCACTGGGGGACTCTGTGGCCATTGTGGGACTCCTTAGCCTCTGATCACTTAAACCAATCTAATAAATCGATTGATATATATTCTATTGGTTCTGTTCCTGTTCAGAACCTGACTAATGCAGCACACTTAAATGTGCTTATGGAACTGACTGTCCTCTTGTAGATCTCAGATGCTGCCCTTTCTGTGTCCCAATGGGCCACTCCATTGTGATTAGTTGGACTGCAGTGGAGGCCCTATGGGAATGCAAAGGGCTTGCCTAGCCTGGTTGCCCACTGAGCGCCTCAACTCACTCACTGATTGGCTGACCCTGGACTCTCCTGCCCCAGCTCCTCCTACCCCAAGAGGGTGTTGCTCTGTTTTCTCTTTTGTGGGTCTATTCCACTGCAGGTTCCTGCATCCCTTGGAGGTCTGCTGCCTCCTTTCCCAATCTGGTCCCTCATACCTCATATTGATTTTCAGAACTTGAAAGGTTTGCCTCATCTACCAAGCTTTTGTTTTGTAGCTAAAACCACATTATTTACTTCTTGCTTGGTCAAATAATTTCTTCCAAAATAGGACTGAAATACACCAAACTTGAGTGTAAGAAGAGATGGTAAGTATAGATATCTATTAAGGGTAAAAATCATAAAGCTAATGGAGTTTCCAAGTACATAAGAGCACTCTCAGAACTCATGTATCAGTTTGTTTATCTCAAGATAATAAAATTCCAAATTGTTAAATCTTCAAACACTGGGATACTTGCAAGCAGATTTCAACAACTCTTCCGGAGCATCTCATGGATAAGAATTAGTTTGACCCGAGGAGATGTATATGTTCTAGGTAAATTCACTCTTTTGCAAGCTATAGAAAAATTGTTTCAGAAAGTGTAATCTTGCTGTCTCAAGTCTTGTTGTGTTGCCCAGGCTGGGGCCTTAAACGTGCAATTCTCATTCTTCAGCCCCCTGAATGCTAAGATTACGTGTATTTACAACCAGGCCTGGCACAAGACAAATTCGTAGTGGGTGAATTAACGTGAGCAAAGTAGACATATTTTTAAAGTTGTCTTAAACTTTCATGAGTATGTGACCTGAGCAAGACCCTGAATTCAAAAGGACTTAATGCTCTAGGTTTGCCACTGTGGGGTTCTTAATAATTTTTTTTTTGAACAGGAAGCCCCAGTTTTCATTTTGCACTGGGCTTCACAATGATGTAGCACAAATAATGCTTTTATGTCATTATTAAGGAAAGAAAGGTCTTAAATGATACTTTAATACCCTTTGCTCTCTGATCATTTATTAATTTACATGCATGCTTGGAATCTAGTTTGGTGACTGAAACCCTCTTCCACGGTAGACTGAGCTTTTAAAAGTCATCTTTCCAAAAGCGCCTGCCTGGCAAGCGCAAGGTCGTGAGTTCGGTTCCCGGTACCGGAGAAAAACCAAAAAACAAAACAAAACAAAAAAAAAAAGTCATCTTTCACCTCTTTTAATTGTGGTGGGAAGAATCACAGGAGTTGGTCTGATCTTGGTGGCTTTCATACCCAGGAGAAACATAATAGTCCCTCTTCCCACCCCCAGTTGCTCCAGAAGGACCCAGCCCAGGTGTCTGTTTATCATCAAACACAGCTTTGCTGCTTTTGTCCTTCTTCTAGAAATAAAACAAGTGGTGAGAATTGGCTCCTCTGGAGAAAATGTCTAGTTTAGTGAATTTAAGCCTGCATTTATGGCAATAATTTGAAAAGGAAGTCCAAAAAGTGGGGAAATGTGCACGTGGTTGGCAGTGCCCAGAGATGAAAAATGGTTAATTTGAGACATGGATGTGGAGGCTGCCCCTTAAATTGGGACTGGGGACAACCCTGCCCCAACTCTGGGTGAAATAGAAGCTCCGCCCTGCATAGGAGAAAGACATCCCACCTCCTCATGGAAGATTGCCTGGAAGGGATGTGGGCTGGCGCTTATGAATATTTAACTTGTACCTTTTAATGGTTTGGTTTTTATCATCTTTCTTATTTAAAAATAATTCTGACTTCATTTCTCTCAAAAACATAAATGAAGGTAAAATAACACTGAGAAAGCATTTTTCATATGGCTTCCTAATAATTTTGCTTGTCCTAATGCCCAGACTCAGGGCTCCTGAGGCTCGGGAGACTCTCGGAAGTGTTTCATCCTTCCTCACCTTCTCACAGTCCCTGTCCTTCTCAGGGTCCGCGCCTTTTACTGGAAGAATGTCTGAATGATTAGTTACCAAATGACAGCAGTGTGAGTCATGAGCCCTCAGTCCTCCCCACATAAGATTTTGGGTATAATTATCTAGAGAGTTTATCAAATGCAAAACTGTTACACTACCTATCCCTGGACAGGAGATAATTAGCCTACCTGCCACACTAGTGACTCATGGGCACAATTCCACACCAAAAGTCACACAAGGAGAGACACAGATGAAGTAAGAATAATCACTGTGGAATAAAATGCTAACAGTAATCAATATTTTTAAAAAGACAACATTTTGCTATCTAAACTGTCCCGTGGTGACCTTGCCCTACTTTGCCTCTGTAGATCAATCCCAGATGACATTTATACTATCCTCTACTGACTATGCATTACCTTCTAGGTACATTATCATACGTTCAGGTTCCTGATCTGAGAAAATGCGTAAAGGACACCTTCCCATGAGAAATGTTCCTTGTGGACTCAGTGGATTAATTAGCAGTCAACTTAAGAGGGAACACGTAAGCTGAACGAGTCAGTGTGGTCTGGGTGTGGAAGACCCACTTGAGGATTGTTGCTGGAATGACATAAAAGGAGAACTGGAGGGAAAGACTGCATGCTGTTGATTTTCCTGGAGAAGCGTGGTGTCAGCTGTTCTCATCATTGGAGGAGTTCGGGTCCTCATTGTTGCCAGAGATGGTTGCTGTTTTCTTTAGGGGAGTTCTGGTCTTCGCCTCCTGGCTCAGTGCAATCCCTCAGCCTGCTGGCACAGGTCCTTCATCCCGCTGGTGTAGACTTTCTAGCTTCCACCACTGGCCTTTGAATCCTCCCAGTGCCGATCCTTGATACGAACTTGCATGAGACGTTGCCATGGGATCCAGGCCTTCAGCTGGAATCTTCAGGTCTCCATTTTGCAAACAGATCTCTTGCATTCTTCTACATCCCTAGGAAGCATGGACTAGTACAGTAATGAAGAGAAGATCTTTCTGCATATAAATAAGGCCTGCAAGAGCAGTGATGATGTGACAGAGATACCTGGGATTGCTCGGCTGCTGTAGAACTGCTTGGTGGGTAGCGGTCCCCTCACCTTTCCAGGCTCCCATTCGGTACTTTCTGCTCTTCCATCTTTGGGCCTCCATCCCCTCAAACTGATAAGTGACCAACATGCTACATCTCTCAACCCCCAGCCTTAGCATTTGGCTCCGTTTGCTGTGTCTCTCTGCTTTCTGCTGCACCCAATTATTTGGGGGCTATATCTGAGCAGGCCCATAGCCACCCAACAATATGAGTCCTAAGTTACTGTCACTGGTAGCATGGGATTTTTAGCTTGTGTAAGATGGAAATCAGATACAGGCTGGTTGTTGAGCAAGCTGACAGATCTCACCATTGTTTGACTGATTCAAGGCCATTTAAAGGGAAAGGTCCCTCTACTACTGGAGTCCAAGATGTTACCAATCAGCCAAGATGTCTTTTATTCATTATTCCAGTTCAGCCAAGAAGTCATGAACTGGTAAAATGTAGCTCTTTTAGGGTTAACAGCTCCAGGCTCTGCATACCAGTGGCTATTAACTCTTTTAGTGTTAATGGCCCTTTTTGCCGCTTGGAGCCAGCACTTATCAACCACCAGAGACTGCAGTGCCAGCAATTTTCCATTGATCTGTCATTCTCTATTGATAGGCTCTTCAGTTTTACCAGCTCTAGGTGCTGGACGCTTTCAGAGTTGGCATTACCAGCTGTTCCTGTACCTGCCCAGCGTGCTCTACCATAGATAAGAATCACAGGGAAAAAAATTCCACCTAAAGGAGCCTTTAGTAGGACTTCTGCTGCACCATAATAGGGAACAGTGCATGCACTGATGCTAAGGGTAGGAGAAGGCTGCTTATGAAGGAGAAAAGAGACGCATATGTGTGCACAGTGCAGACTTTCTATTGTCATGGGCAGGGGAGGAGCCCCTCAAGGGCCTCAGTGAGGAAGATGACAGAAGGATTGCAGGGTAGAGTTCTCTATGAGAGGTCTGAATCTGAAATTTGCCACTGCCAAAGCAAATATCGCTCAGAGCAGTACCTGATGTGGCCTGGCCAGCTACAAGGCATTTGGGAAAGTCATGAAAGAAAAGTAAAAGTACTTCTCAGGATGCACTGGACTCTTCTGTCTCATCACACGGCCTCTTCTCTTCCTCAGTTCCCTGCTCAGAGCAGGCAGTTTTCCCGCCTTCTCCCTCTGCCCAGAGCACCCCTTCCCCCTGGACCGAAGGTCACACATTTCTACTCCCAAAAGGCAGAGAGTAAATATTTGAATCTCTGCAGGCCACACAGTCTCTGTGGCAACAACTCAACTCACAAAAGCAGCCACAGATAACATATAAACAAACAAGTGTGGCTGTGTTCCAATAAAACTGGGCTTTTATAGAAAAATGAAAGTGGAACTTTATATCATTCCCATGTATTGTGACCTGTCACGCCTCTCCTGATGTTTTCCAATTGCTTAAAATGCAAAAACTATCTTTAGCCACAAAGAACAGACGACAGGCTGTGAATGTGGTTTGCAGCCCCTCACCTGGATTCTCACTGGCCGGTCACAGCCACATCAAATGTTGTCTTCTTAGAAAATCTCCCTGAATGTTGGGCATGTGGCGTGAAAGGCCCTTCCCTGTGCTCCCAGGAAACCCAGTGCATACTTACCTGTGAACATCTGTCCACCTGGCTCTGAGGCATTCTGTCTGTATATCTGACTACCTACCAACAGCTAGACCCCTGGGAGCAGGACGATGCCTCCCTGTTTGTGTGCTCTGGGCCTCGCCTGCTGCTTCCAGCTGGTCAAGGCCGAGGCCCTGAGTAGCCAGCTAGCCGAATTGGGCATTTGGAGATGGTGTTGGAATCATCTTCTTGATTTGCCTTGGGCCCTGGAGGACAACAGATCATCATAAAAGAAGGGTGCTTGTGGGCCACTGTGTGGGCCAGCCTCGGGAAGGGGCCCAGAGAGAAGAAAACAGCAGTGTGGGTGCTTCCCCATCCCCACCATCGTCCACCCCGAATGGGTGTGTTGAAACCTAACCCTCTTTGTGCTGGCATCAGGAAATGTGCCTTTGGGAAGTATTAGGTCATGAGGGCAGAATCTCCATGAGTGGAATGAGTACCTTATACATGAGGCCCCAAAGAGCTGAACTGCCCCTTCCACCATGTGAGGAGGATACAGAGAGAAGGCACCATCTATGACACAGGAAGCAAGATCTCATGAGACAGCGAATCTGCTCGCACCTTGATCTTGGATTTCTTAACCTCTAAGGCTACAAGAAATACATTTCTGTTGTTTATAGGCCATCTAGTCTATGGGATTTACTATAGCCGTCTGAGTAGACTAAGAGAGCGTGAAATGATACATGACGCATGAAACAGGTGAGCACCATGGGAGTGAGTGTGGCCCTTCAAAGGGGAGGTGCAAAGGGGAGAGCATGTTTCCCTGCTGCCAGCTTCTCTCATGGCCTCCTGACTCAGAATAATCAGACCTTCCCTAACCTTCCCATGGGGAACGGGATCTGCATTTTAAGTAGGGTCTTTCCTTACCCGCAGTGATTCTTCTATACACATCAGCTTGAGAACCATGCCATCCTGCTTGAACACAGACTACCTGGCTCTCTCCAAAGAGTGATTTTTAGCTGGGTGAAAGATGGGGAGTGTGGGGGTGTTTTTGTTCCTTTTTACTGGTTGCTGAGGCAAAATATCTGATGCCCAAAATGAAGGAAGGAAAGGTTCATTTAGCACACAGTTTGTGGAGGTTTCAGTACATAATCAGCTGGCTCCAAGGCAGGGTAGCATATGGCAGAGGGACAACAGTTCTTGTCAGAGAAGACAGCAAAATCAACAAGAGCATAAGAGGAGGAACAAGCCTCTTTTTCTCACTTATATTGTATGCAGGCTACCCTCCTCAGGTGAATGTAGCAGTCACACCAATTCATGCCCTCCTCCTGCACAGGCTCAGGATGTTTACAGAATGAGGACCCTGGCCCCTTGCTGAGTCACTTAAACTTCTAGACTTCTCAAGTTGACAAAGTGTATCAATCATGAAAGGGGGAAACAGCTATCTACTACCCATGGATATCTAGCAAGGAACAAAGAGACTCCCAGGACTCTGAAAGGTCACAGACAACACATACAATTGACCATCAGCAGCATGGTAGACCTCAGGGTATCCATACTGGTGAGCTGAGCAGGTGAGTGGGGCAGTGGTTGGAGTTATGATTGGAGCAGAAGAAGATAAAGGTGGAGGAGGAACAGGAGAGTAGTTAGTAGGCCAGCAGACATAGGACAAGCCTAATTTGCCCATATAACAGCTTAGAAAGGTACATAGTGTGCACAATAGATACACCATCTCAGCCCTCAGCTCTCTGGGTTTGAGTCCCAGATCCACCTCTAACCCTTGCTAGTGACCTTAGGCAGGTTGTTTCATCACCCTTTGCTTTCGTGCTTATCAGTAATGATAGTAACAGCTCTTGCCATAGGACTGTGTGGGAATGGAATGAGTTCTTACATTGGAATGAATTAGGATAGATTCTGACCTGTTTGAAACCAGGCTGCCATTATCATCGGTATTATGACCATCAAGAATCCACAAGCTGGTAGGACTGAAGGGAATATTTTCACTACTGATCGGTGCTTAGGAAACAGTTGTTGAACTGCTTGGAACTGACTTTAAATCACAACCTAAGTCTCTTGCCCCTCGCCCCTCAGCATGTGCCATTCTCCAAAATGGACTCTGCCCTCCTCCTGGGTCTGAACTCTTCACAGGGAAGTGATGGTTGACTTCAGGTTGGGCTAAGAGCCAGCCAGCATGGGTGAAATATTTCCAGTTTCTAGACTGGCAGCCCCCCAATATTAAGTACTAACTGAGACTGAGAATATGGTCAGGCTGCTTAAACTCTCCAAGACTTCATCCCCTTATCTGTGAACACTGCAGTGATTCCAGCATAACGTTCATGTGAAGTGATTCCTGTAAACACTGCAGTGATTCCAGCATAACATTAATGTTAAATGAATAACGTTCTATTTAAGTAAATGATTTTTTATTCTCAAAAAGTAAAGCAATTTAGCTAGGTTTATTTATGCCCTAATTAACTTACCCTGGTTATGGTGGTCCTGTTTGTGTGACCACTGAACAAGCAGAAAGTGGATCTCTAAATTAAGTGCATCTCTGATGGGATGGAAGGATGGGGTCCTCTCTTCTGCCTTTTGTCTACTGTCAACCTCCCTCCCTACACCCTACAAGAGGACAACAGATGATATGTCTAGTATATTAGTTGTTCTTAAGGAATATTATTCCTATAGAATTACTTTTTCCCATAGAATTATTTCTGACCCAAGTGGCTTAAGCCAATAATAATCATTATTACATCATACCATCTCTGTGGATCAGGAACTTGGGAGCAGCCCGGCTGAGTGGTTCTGGTTCAGAATGCCTCTGGAGGTTGTAGTCCAAAAGTCACCTAGGGCTGCATTCATTGGACCAACACTGGGGGACTTGATTCCAACATGGTACCTTCACATGGCTGGCAAGGTGGTGGTGGCCGTTGTCAGGAGACTCATTTCCTGATCAGCTGGACCTCTCCAAAGGGCTCCTGAGTGCCCTTAAAATACGGCAACTGGCTTCCCCAAGAGCGAGTCAGCTGAGAGCAAGGAAAATCGAGATGACCTTTTTGATCCAGTCTCAGAAGTCACATGCCATCATTTTCACAATATCTTGTTGTTATACAAGTCGGCTGTGTTCACTACACGAGGAGCCAACCCAGGTTGTGAATATCAGAAGGCAGGAATCACTAGGCACCTTGTAAGCAGCTACCCATTAACTAAAGATTAGGTGAAATCCACCTTTAAAAATGCTGCTTTATAGAAAAGTCCCTTGGTTAAAACTTTACCAAGAAGGGTAATCTTAATCTATTACATAATGGAAATGGGAAATCATTTCCCCTTTGGGTTATCCCTGACTATGTATGATATAAGTGGCAGGTTAGGTTGAAAGAATACATTGAAGAAAATGACGTGGCAGTTTTAACTCCGAGACAAGTAGTCTTAAACCTTATATTCCTGCTGTATATACATTTAGTAGAGGCCAAAATGCTTTAGATCAATCCCAGGTACTCTTCTTCCTTGGATAGGTGTTTGGGCCTAGTTCTCACCAACAGAATGCATGCGGAAATTATGTATACCACCTCTACACAGAGATGGTGAAGTGGAATGTGATTCGCCTATTCTCCTCTCTCTTTTTAAAAACCTACTGATAGGATGTAAAGCATTGGTGGAGGAAAACAAGGCACTAGGAGATGACAGAGCAATCAGAAAAAGCCTGGATCCCCGGACGAGGATGTGGAGTACAGCACCCTCCCTGCCTCTGAGAGACCCCCATTGAATGCTGACGAGGGTAGAAAATAAACTTTTGTTGTGTTAAGCACAGAAAGGTTAGGTTTTTGTAACTGCAGCCAGCATTACTTTCAATGATTAATGTCAATTACAAATCTTATTTAAATCGTCACCATCCTGATACTCAATTTCATTATTACAAAACCAAATCCATGTTTGCTTTCTTTAGTATTTACCACTTCTCTTAGGACATACCAGTGTTTCAATAACAAGAAATATCAAAGCCCTAGGCCATCGTTGTAAGGTATAAATGTATAATATCACCACTTATTACATGACATCTGGATTAAAAAAAAATAAAAGAGAAAGTGGGGTTTAAAAATAAAAAGTAAATAAGTGTTATAAAAATGTAATGCTATGTAAAATTGATTCAATGTATTCAAAAATTAAAGGCACTTTATCTCCTAATAAACATCAAAGTACCACAGAGTTTTTTTTATATTCCAGGGACTGAGCCAGTTTTTAAAAAATCTTTAACCATACAGTTCTAGAATTAGAGGTCATCCTCAGAGACCTCCATAATACACTGAAAAATAACTCCTCAAATCCTGTCTGTACAATGAAGGGCTATAAAACAATAAATCACACTCTTGTTTTATAGTTTAGACTCTATTCATCTTTGTCCTTTTGCAGGGGACCGCAACTGAGAACTGGGAACCACAAAGAAATTGGGGGAAACTTGACTAATGGGTCCACTCTCATGCATTCATCTTCCTCCCTCTTGTTGGTTATACAAGTGGGTCCTTAACTAATGGGTCCTTAACTTTCCAGCTGTCTACTCCAGGGCTGCCACCACCTCAGTGAAGCCTCTTCATGCTCCATGAGATCTCAAACCTAGTCAATTATTCTTGGGGCAGCGGCAGGGACTTGTGTGGTGGAATTCCCATCTTCCCCTGGAGACTCAGAGCTTTCGGGTTGTCCTGACGTTGTGCTTCCATATTGGCCACGTTCCTAGTGTCATGACCTCAGTCTGAACCAACTTACTCTTGCTCCTGAGTCTCTTCCACAATTTTCGTTTGTTAGCTTTGAACTTGTTCTAAATGAAGCCCTACCCAGCTCCTTTCCGTGGCTTCAGTAGATGTTGGTGGAGGCCAAAGGTGGGCTGGGGGATGGCATGTCCCCAGTGATCATGGACACAGTAAAATGTACAGCCTGCCTGGTCCTGCTGCGGTAGTTCCTGACTGCAAATAAAGCTTTTATTTATGTTTTTAAAAGACAAATGACAAAGCCGGGTAAAGAAAGACCTCATTTACCTTGTGTCTGAGGACGGTGCTTCTTTCCCCCAAGACTTGGGCTCCCTAAAGCAGCATAAAAGAAAATGAGTGACATCTTTAAGAGAGCTAAGAAATTTATGGGCTGTAAAAGAATTTCCAGTATGTTAAAGATGAGTAATTTTCCTCTCTATCAGTATATGTTTAAAATAAAAGAGACCCAGGCCACTGATGTAACTGTATGAAAAACAGAAGAATTTGTGGCAAAGGAATAGTCAAAATACTTGAACTGAAAACAAAGAGAAAAGTGATCAATTTTACAGCCTGGCTGCAGTCATTGAACAGTTGACTCAGATGACTAGCTAACACATCTGTATTTACATGATCTGGAAGGCATAAATTACCAACACATAGGAAAATTCTGGAAAAATAAAACAGTAAACGATACTCCGTAAGTATATGATGAAGTTATCTAGCAAGACTGTAATCCTCACTGCCGAAATCTCTACCACGTCTGGCAGGACTGTGCCATCTAGTGGCTTCACAGTGACTGCCGGCAGTTGGATTCAGTCGGGAAAGGTGTTTCGAATATCCTGTGAGCTACAGTATAGGAGAACGAGGAGTCCATGGCATCCGCGTGCAGTCATTTCCATAGTAGGTGAGTCACAGAGTGTGCATCACACGCCTGCTTCGTTTCAGACATCCAATTCCCTCACCTACAGCATCCATGTGGCTGCATAACAAGCTCTGTTGTCTCAGCTGTTGCCCTCGAGAAGCTCATGTGCAAGGAGAGGCGTTGCAGACCTCTGTTTACAAGGTAATAGGAGGTAAAGCACCAGTAACAGGTAATGAGAATACAGAGGTAGAATCCCCGACCCAACAGCCATCCTTCCAATAAGCCCAGGATGGTGTTCTTCACATGGCAATAATACCAACCTGCCCAAATTTCTTGTTCTGAAATTTTGGTGATCTTTAATAATTTGAGCTCTACTGTTGGACCCCAGCCCCACCACCTTCTACCTTTCCCTGGTTTTCCCCGGAGTCCCCTGACCTCTCATCTGTTCTTTCATCAGGACTCACATAAGTTTGTCTGTAATTCTTTAGTGGCTCCAGCTTTGCACAGTTCTCTGCTCAGGTACCTGTGTTCTCAGCTGGGGGAGGGAGCGAGCTTAATGTCAGCCATGTTCAAAGACCCAGAAGAAATTCAGGGAAGAAAAAAGAGGGGAAAATCTCCAGGAAAGGAAGAGTCATCATTCATCTTACAAACTGCTTTGAAATAAATTCTCCTTTCCTACAGCTCTATACCCATTTTGGTGAACTGATGGCACCCATGTGTTTTTTTATTTTAAGACAAAAGATGTTAATGTGCAAGGTGTCTTTTCTACACTAAAACCTTGGTATTCAGGTTTAATTGTAGTGTTGGCACTTTGCGTAAATAAGTGGGTTTTGGGCACTCCTCTCTAAAAGGTTCACCATCGCTGATTTATACAAACATACAAATGTAGGGATGGTAAAATAGCTGAGTTGAAAAGGAAGCAGGGTAGGCCAAAATCCTTTGGGAAAAGTTTGGAAAACTGAAATATATTGTAATTTTTACAATGTTCTACCTTTGAAACTAGAATATTCATGACATATAATTCACATAATATAAAATTTGTCTATGGCCATACCACCCTGAATGCACTTGATCTCATCTGATCTTAGAAGCTAAGCAGGGTCAGGCCTGGTTAGTACTTGAATGGGAGACATAGTATAAAATTTACCATTATAAAATGTATAGTTGAGTCTTTAGTATATTCACAAAGGTAGCTGTCACCTCATATTCACCCTTTCCTGCTCCCAACCACCAGCAGCCACAGATCCATTTTCTATGTCTAGAGATTTGCCTATTTTGGACACTTCACATAGATGGAATCATACAGAGTGGCTTTTAGTGTCTGGATTTCCTCATTTAATAAAACATTTTTAAATTCATCCCTCTCTTGGTGTTACAGTTCTATATTCCTTCCTATGGTTGATGTTCTATTGTATGGCTATGCCACACCTCATTTGTACATACACATCAATGGACAGACATTTGCTTTGTTTCTCCTTTGTGACTATTTGGAATAATCCTGCTATGAACATTCATATGCAAGTTGTATGTAAACATGATTCCAATGAAATATTTGCTGAAGAATAGATGGATGATCTTTGGGGATCAGAAAAGATCTCTGTGTATTAAAGCCAAGCACATACTTCTACCTTACCAAGCTCAGAGAAGATAGTTACGTGGCTGTTCATGTATCTATTTGGCTACAAAAGTGTCTATAGAATCACAGTCTTAGATTTTGTGGGTTTTTTTGTTTTTCTTTTGGTATCGGGAATCGAACTCAGGACCTTGTACTTGCCAGACAGCAGGCTGCTGAGCTAATTCCCCAGACAAATCACAGTCTTAGAGTCTCAGAGATTCTTCACGCCAGCTTAGGAATGTTCTCTCAATTTACTCAACCGTTAATCATTCGTTCAGTTTATCTATAGACAGGAAATACTTTTAGTCACAAGACTTAACCATTTTGTTTGTAATTTCTAGAAAGCCATTTTACACATTTAAAGTCTGTCATTTTATAACTTTCTGAAAAGTTTGAGACCACCTGGCAAACCTTAAAATTATGCTAAGCTACCACGGTCCCTCTCTTCAGTACTTCCCCCAAGTTACCTTCAGACCTTTCCTTTTTCCATACATTTGTATTTCACCATCTCTGATGAGTTCCTCCAGATACTAAAATACATCATTATCCTTCTAAACAGATATTTCTCAATTCCAGAAAAATGTGCTCTGGTCAGCCAGGAATACAATGAGAACAGTATCTGTCTGTAATACTGTGTTTCTTCTAATAAAATAGCCTAAGATTGCATGACTTTGGCAGCTATGTAATTTATCAGTGCAAACTGTGCTTGCACCCATCAGCTAAGTTCACCAAGACTTTTTCAAATGACCTGTGGTTACCCTCTGTTCAGGGCAGTTTGTTTTTGGAGCTTATGAGACTTTTTCTTTTTTCCTATTCAGTTCCATTTTAACAATTCGAGTCTATAATTCCATTTTGCGAGACTCTTTGGGCTCAAGCCACCATCTGCCTTAACCATATGTCAAGCACAAAATAGCAAGTTCTTTTTTTATTGATCTTTGCACAATTCTTTATTAGGAACATACAAAAATCATCCTGCACCGGACAGCATTTCTTCTCACGCTCTGTGATGACTGTTCCATCTGGTCACTATCTCCCTGTTACTTATAATCTCACTATCCTTGGTAAATACTAGTTGCTCAGTGAATGTTCAATTCAACAATCTCCCTTTCAAATGCTGACGAAGAGCTTTGTGTTTAAGACCCCTTCTGTAATACAGGAGGTATGTCCTGCTGGTCTCTTGGTGATAATCTCATGGTTCAGCTATTTTAAGCAAGTCGTTGATACTTTCTACATAGCTAATGATTCAGTTCCTAACACATCCTCCTTTATCTTCCAAGTTCTTGCAAGGCTGAAGCATGAGAATCACAAGTTTGAGCTCAGCTTGGGCAACTTAAAGACTTAAGAAGACTGTATTTCAAAATAAAAAAGCTTTAAAAGGGGGTGTCGCGCAGGCCAGAAACCCTGAGTTTAATCCCTGGTACCAGAAAACAAAAACAAAACAAAATCACTAATGAAAGTTCGTATTTTTCAGACATTTCTATGTATCAAGGTGTGCGCTAAGCATTTCACATAAATTATCCCATCTTGAAAGCAAATTTACTATGTACAATTTGTATTCCCATTATAAAGATGAGAAATTTAAGTAAATCATGCAGGTTCCGATGGCTAATAACTACCAGAGTCAGAATCCAAACCCAAGTCAATTGTGGTGTAGAGCACAAAGCCCTTTTTATGACATTATGACCGTCACCTACAAAAAGATAGGAAATACTATTTGCAACAAGTGAGAGGGAACATTTCCTTAGCCACACCCAAAGATTTCTCCTGGTAATTCATACCTTTCATTCAAACAGTGACTGACAGAAGCAGGTGCCTCAGGGAAGGAGGGAATTAGTTGAGTCCAAAAAGAACTAATTTGGTTCTGCTCATTTGTAATTTTCTCCTTCTCCTCCTTCCCCTGTTCCTACTCTTTGTCTTCCTCCTCTCCTCCTCTTCCTCCTCTCCTCCTCTTCTTCCTCTCCTCCTCTTCTTCCTCTCCTCCTCTTCCTCCTTCTCCTCCTCTTCCTCCTCCTTCAAGAGCTGAATTCACTGTGTGTTGTGCTCCCTGTACTTGCCTGCATTTTTCCAGTTACTGGAACAATATCTCCAGGGCCCAGTCTGCAGAGGTGTGGCCACGTTGACATGTGGGAACCATCCTTGCTGACACTGCTGAAGGACAAAGCTACAACAAACTTAACATAGGCCAGTGAAGATGCAATAAAACTTGCCTTTCTTCATAGTTTTCTCTAGAAGCCAATCCACCTCACAGAGGTGGGCAGAAGAAATGTCCAGAACGGCTCTGTGTGTGCCGATGCCTCTCATTAGCTCCAAACATTAGTTTCTAGTTAAAGAGCCGGGCTAGGCCATTAGGAAATGAACTACTAATAATATATTAGTTATGAAAATTGACCACAGGTTGTGGCAACTAGCAGGAAATCAAACACATGGTTGGCAACTGTTCTTTCTAAGTTAGGAGATCAGGAGAGATTTCTTTTTGTGTATTTCATGCCTATCCCAAATTCCCCCCACACACAAAATTTTTATTTTGCTATATCCTCTTTTGTCTCCCAGTGTTTTAGTAATCAACTAAATGTGCATGTATTCTAACCCAGCAATAACCTTAAACACAAGTAACTGTATTCTGAAAATTTTCCTCTCCCTGGATCCCTGTTAGTGTATCTCGGCCTCTGCCTTTCTGTCTGGTGTCCGCCTAGTAAACTGCCACATTCACATCTTTATTCACATCGTTCCTTACAGCTGCTTTTGCTTTTGACACCTGACCTTTCCTCTTTCAGTTTACTATATGCTGGGAAATTAAATAAGTCTGCTTTTTAGAATTATTTATAAACTAGAGTAGACAGCTTTAGGATGGGTTTG